CGAGCTCTTAACCCCTGTGCCACCAGATGCATGAATAGTGGAAGTGACAAGTTCTATTTTGGGATTCAAAGTGATAGGGGTACATTTTTTATATCCAATAGCTGCTTAGAGATGAACTAAGGAGTACGATCAGGGCTACAGATAAAGACTTGAGCACAATTTGTATACAGGTAAAAGCATACTCTGTTAGGATGGGGTCCCAGAAAGAGACCAATGAGAAAAGAACAGGTTTATGCTGTTAACTGAAACACAGGGTGAGAAGGAAGGGTGGATAAAGATGAGCAAGCCAAGAAGAAATCAAGATAATTTATCCAAATGAAAAGGGAATTTTTAAAAGGATCTTACTGTAAAAGCCCCATTGTTTCCATTGACTAGAATTTCATTGGGAACTTTTGCAAATTCATTTTATTACATTTGTGAGAAATAAAATGATTACTTGTGGACTTGTGAAATCATTGAGAAGTGAGAACGTACAAATAATAAGGCAGAGCCTTGGTGCACTGAGAAAGATGACTGGGGACTTGAAATTATAGATCAGATGGGAATCTAGATATACGTGGATAAGTTGATCATAGAAAACAAAACTATGTCACTTCCCAAAAGGAGCCCTGGGGGTGCAGTGGTTAAGCACTCAGCTGCTAACCAGAAGATCGGTGGTTGGAACCCACCAGCCACTCCATGGGAGAAAGATGTGGCAATTTGCCTCTGTAAAAATTGACAACCTTGGATACTCTATGGGGCAGTTCTACTTTATCTTATAGGGTCTCTGTGAGTGGGAATCAACTTGACAACAATGGGTTTATGTCACTTCCTAAAAGACTTGGAAAATAATAAAAGGAATTGTGAAGAGGCAGAGAAACTGAAAAGCTGAGAAAAGGCAAACATCTGTTAGTTTACCCCCAAGGGCACTGTCTTCTCAGTAAAATGGTGCCTTATGAAATGCTGACCCCTTATTCTGAGGAGTATACTAGGGAATCTAGAGTTAAAATAAAGAAGATTGCCAAGAAGCAAGTGTGGCCCATTTGGAGGTTGGAGACACTATTAGTTTTCTCTTGCTGCAGAACAAATTACCACGTACTAAGCAGCTTAAAACAGCATCCGTTAATTAGCTCACAGCTCTGTAGGTCAGAAGCCCTGCTGGACTTGGCTGGGTTCTCTGCTCAGGGTCTCACCAGGCTGAAATCAAGGCATCAGCCAAGCTCGACTCTTACTTGTATGATATGGGGGAAAATTTGCTTGCAGGCTCACCTAGGTTGTTGGCAGAGCTCAGCTGTAGGGCTGAGGACCCTGATTCCTTGCTGGCTGTTAGACAGTCCACTTGAGCTCCTAGAGGCTTCTCATAGCTCCTGGCCACAAGCCTCTGGGCGCACTCTCCCACCGGCTCTCTCACAACATAGACACTTAGACCTTCAAGGCCTGCAGCAGAATCCCTTGTGTCCAAGTCCCCTCATGCTTTGAACCTCTCTGATTACCCATTCTGCTGATAGTCAGAGAAAACTCTGCTTTTAAAGGACTCGTGATTATACTAGGTCCACTGGATAACCTCCCTTTTGGTGAACTCAAAGTCAGTTGATTAGTAACCTTTGGTCAATTGCAAAATCTCTTTTGCCATTTAGTGTAGGGAGTGTGACATTTCATCATATTCACAATCTAGGGGACTGTTTCTTAAAAATTTGAGTTTATACGCCTTGAGAATGTTCTCAGAGTTTCATTGACATGGTAGGCAAGAGAAATATAAAGAACATAATACTTATTTTGTTTCTCAAAAAATATTTTTCCTTTATCTTTACCAGTCACTATAAATAAATGAATAATTTTCTGACAATTAATATATTCGATCACTTTTAACCAAAAACAACTTTGAAAAATCGTCAGCCTTGTTTTTCATGCACTATCATGGTATTTGTATTTTTGAGTTGTAATTCAATGGGTTGATAGACGTGGTGATTTATACATTGTGGTATTGTTCATGAGATTCCATCTTTGATCAGGGCAAGGTCCCAGCAAAATACTGAAAGAACTCTTAGGAAGTAAATGGAAAATAAAGTTGAAATGAGAAAATTTTGGAAAAGAATTTCAGAGGCAAAAGTGGATAACACACCACCAGAGAACTTCGCTCTTGTAATTGCAGATAATACTTTGAAAATTTTTAATCTAAGTAATGTAACTGGATTCTTTATCAATTAATTCTTTCAACTAATGCGTTCTAGGTGTTTAAGCTCTGTTGTAATAGAATATATAATAAACTAGATAATAACAATCAAATGTATTAAATTTCTAATGTGCCAACACTATGAAAATTACTTGTTTTATAAATGAGTCAAAAATGGCCTCTGTTCAGCCAAAGATTAGACAGGCCCATAAAACAAAATGAGACTAATGGGGCACAACAGCCCAGGGACAAGGACTAGAAGGCAGGAGGGGACAGGAAAGCTGGTAATAGGGAGAGTGTTGACAAGTCATGGGGTTGTTAACCAATGTCATAAGACGATATGTGTACTAACTGTTTAAAGAGAAACTATTTGTTCTGTAAACCTTCATCTAAAGTACAATTAAAAAAAAAAAAAAGGCCTTGGTGTATTGGTCCCAAGTTGTTTATTTCTTTATGACAAGCTGAGACCCATTAGCCCAAAAGCCCACTGGTGCCAAACTCAAATTTGTACGTATCCAGTTGTTAGAAAAGTAGCTCAGATAAGCTTATTTTTAGCCACCGTGAGCCTGCCTGCTTTACATACCCCACAAAACTGCACCGAACATCAGCTAGTCATAGAGAAGATAAAACACTGTAGTTATGAGGACCCTCAGGGACATCTGTCCTTTGGAGTTCTCGGACTTAGAGATTCTCTACCTTGCTGCTGCAGGAGGAGGTTGCCCAGATGCACATAAGCCCACCTTCTTCTCCCCTCAGGCTCTTCATGCCCTTCTCCTCTTCTGATGACTCCCTACACCACTTGCCTCTGGAAGACCTCCTGCTATGCGGGACTGCCCCCTGTGTCCGGCTGTCAGTGCATAGGCCCCAGTAAATAGCTTGCTGTGCAATGCTATCTCAGGGACGTATCTTTTTTTCTTGATCAGCCCTGTATTCCCTCGAACTCACTACAGTATTTTACATATATTTTTTTCTCCCAGTAAGAACAATGCCCCAGGTATATTATTGTCCCCATTTTAGATATGAGGGGACCAAGTTATGCAGTAACTTGCCCAATGTCTCATGGTTAGAATATGTCAGAATCAGGATTCAAACCTAGGTCTGTAGGACCTCAGCATCCATGCCCTTTATGATTATGCTAAATAATAAATGGTATTCATATTTAAGGTAGCTCAACTTTGGTCTTTGAGAATTTTGGATGTTTATGTGGTTTGTTTCATATCTGTGTTTCCTGTAGCATACACATCAGCATATAAACATAGTAAAGAAATTTTGTTTAACTTAATATTTCCTAAATTCACTTGACCATAAAAAAGCCCCTTTTTCTTATCTGACACCTACTAAGACATTTTGAAAAATGTGAATAAAATAGAAATAAGAATTAAAAAAATATATATTTTCAAGTTGTTTTGCCATTTTTTTATTTGCTAGAGAAAAATACATTTTAAGAATGGAAATGTTTCAGAATTCATGATCTAAAATTATTGTTTTTAATTTTGAAAGTTATGAATTGTCAGTTGTTTATTGTATTTTTTAAATATCAAACATATTGAATATTGAGAATATTTCACTCTATATTTTTCAGTATGAAATGCTATCTTTGGGTTACCCATTGCCATTGAGTTGATTTCGACTCTAGGGTAGTGTTTTTAATTATTGTTTTCTAATCAGTACTATTATTTGGACAGTCTCTTCGAAGTACCAACCCTAATGCTTTCACAAAGCACTATCACAATGTAAATGTCCATTCAGTGGTCAGCAGAGACATAGCTCATTCGTAATATAGCGGTACCCTTGAGTGCTCATGCTTGGTCATGTGTTCATCTCCAAAACTGCCTTAGAGGTGCAAATGCCACATATTGGATCACTTCGCTCAGTCTTAGCTTTAAGTGAAATGTTCTATTATTCATAACATCACCTTTTTGAAAAGGAGTTCGGCATTTCCAATATTATTCAAAAATATTACCTGCACCCCTGTGCTGTAGGGAAAAATGGCTATGGCAGCCATTTTTCTCATAAAAGTAGATGAAATATTTGAGAACCAAGAACTGAGAAGTTAGTAAAATTTCTTACATGGAAAAGGAAGTAGGACCCAAGTCTTTTGTCAGAAGGATCAGTTCTGTGCCATATGCATGGGACTACGCATTTGATCCAACAAAGTTTAAGTGATGCTATAAACTAGTATGTCCAAAATTCTAGATTTTTAAAATTAATATGATTTTCTAGAAGAATAAAAACAAACAAGTAAACAAGCCCATTGCTGTTGAGTTGGTTTTGACCCATAGTGACTCTTGAGGACAGAATAGAACCGCCCCATAGAGTTTCCAAGGAGCAGCAGGTGGATTTGAACTGCCAACCTTGTGGTTAGCAGTCATATCACTTAACCTCTGCACCACCAGGGCTCCTCTAGAAGAGTAGTACTCAGCTTTTTGAGACTATTCGGACTGCTGGTTTACAAAACAGCACACTGCTATCAGCCAATATACTGCAAAGGGTGTTGTGTTGTACTGGAGTTTGATTTACCATGCCTAAACATTTTTTATTCAGAAGCAAAAGATTCTCTAACCAAATTACACATGAGCAAGAGGGTCTGGTTTTATCTGCTATTTATTTTTTTTCAGATTGGTTAGCAAAGCATTATCGCTAATATGCAGATCATAGCTCTTTATGACTATAAGATCTTGCCCATTTGTTGTTATTGCTATTGTTGAAGACTTGATTTGATAAGGTGTCTGCACCAAAAAATGGATCCACATGTGAGAATAATTCTAATTTCTGCATATGCATCTGAAGAGAGATCTTAGATGATTTGAATTTGCAACTAATAAGTGCATTTGGTGTCCATGTTTAGTTGTTACAGGGTAGGTCAACACCCAAACCGGACAAGTGGGAACTTCTCCAGCTGGGCAGTGGTGGCGGCATGGTCGAACAAGTCAGCGGGGACTGTGATGATGAAGACGGCTGTGGGGGATCAGGAAGTGGAGAAGTCAAGAGGACACTAAAAATCGCAGACTGTAAGTGTGTGGTTCTAATACTACTTTTAAAGGGTTGATTATAAAATATAATTAAGGATAATTATTATCATGGCGTGAAGAAATAATGACAGTGAATTCGGAAGCAGGCAATAGGAGCTGGAAATGGCAGATAGCTTACTTTTAGATGTTCAAAATATGCATTCATATGGTTTTTGTTTATTTTTAGTTAATGGCTTTAAATGGAAACGTCACTTTTCACTGAAAAATTGTGAGATCTTCAGCTCTGAGAGGATGGTCTGAGAATGATAAAGGCTTTACAGAGGGATAATTCTTAGGGCATGAGAATTCTTAGGGCATGAATATTAAATGCATATTGGTAAATAATGTGAAATCAAGATGGATAAGTCCTACTAAAAAATCAATTCTGCGTTTCTTTATATTATTGTGACATTACGTAAAGGAGATTTTGCTTTATAAAATTTTTATCACAGTCAAATTGAAAAGGAATTGGTTAAATATATGGTTAATTATGGTGAAAAACTATGCTGAATTTATCTCTTAAGAATCTGTTTTTCAAAAAAAAATTTCACCTATCATTCACGTCGGTTTGATTGTATGGTTTTGAAAAGCTTCTCTGGCATTGCTGAACTAGTCACGACCACAAAAGACAGAAAGGCTGACTGACAAAAAAAATCACAAAATGCATTTCTTTTCTTGTCTTCACATACAAGATGAGGAATACAGGTTTTCCAGCCTCCACTGCTATGTGCATGTATTCATTCACATGGGAAGGAGAATCAAACCTATCAACTGAGAAAGAAGTGTGAGAATTCGCACTGTACACAGAGCATCTCGCTTTTAAATTTTATTTAGCTTAGGCTGTTCAAAGGTTAAAGTAATCTTCTGAAACCCCACTGGACCTATTAATAGGGTGTTCTGATAATCTCCCTCTAAATCACACTGGGCTTCTTTAGACCTGTTTGATGTGCCCATTTATGAGTTTGGTGGAAGAAGAATTCACTTACTTTTCAGCTGTCTTGTAGTGAATAAACACAAATTGATGCTTCCACCATTAATACCCCATTTTTTCTAGGATCCAGTTTGACAAGCCAAATGTATTAGTTAAAAGAATGGAAGCCAAAGAGATGAAAAAATTCACATAATAAAGGATATTTTCCATTTAGACACTGTAATAATTTTATTTAACATAAAGTGTAAATAGATGGGAATTCATTTCTGGAGCAGCAATTGAACAAAGAGCCACAGAAATCATTGATGTAATTAAACCATCTACTAATGCAAATTAAATATCTTCTAGTTTTGTAGGAGATTAAAAATATGTATTCCTGTTATTGGTATTAATTTAACTTATCAGATTGAGTTCTTTTGTTTTTTTCTTTCTTTGGTTTTATGGACAAAAAAAGAAGAAAAAGGATTTTCACTGGAAAAAAATATTTTTCCTTACAGTTAAAATGTCTTCCATTGCATTTAGTAACTATGATAATTATCTATTAGAATAATGTTCAGTTGTTTGTACCCTATCTTGGATATTTACATGTACTCTAGTTTTATTGTCATTTGATTATTAGCAAGGTTTTTCAGCAGAGAATTATTCCTGTATGTCTGTATCATCAATAGCAGTAGCGCAAGCACATAACAGGTGGAAATTTCATCTATCAAATAGCATGTGTGTATGTGTATGTATTTGTGTAAGTATGTAGAATTAGCATTTTTATAGGGATTTTTTCACTTCCTGAAAGTATTTATAAGCGCAAGAATTTCTCAAGTATTAATAGACAACGTTTTTTGTTTTACTTCACAAGAGAAGTAGAGACTATTGAGGATATTCAGCTACTAATAGTTTTCTCACAAAACCGTAGTTGTCAAAGTAGCAAGAATGAATTTTTACTTCAAAACCTTGTTTTCAATTACTTCTGAAATGGATAGGTATGGTACAGGCAACTATCAGTCAGAATTGGGGAGATTTAAGATACAGATGGTTTTCAGAAACTCCAGGCAAACATTACAAAAAAAAAAAAAAAAAATCCACGCCTGCTATAAGTGGCTCGCCTATTATGTTTCTAACAGTTTATATCTGTTGCTTTTCAATTTTTAATAAGCAGTAAGGAAACCACTGTGGACAGCGTGCTGAATAAAGGATCAGAAAAGCAGCAAAGGGTAGCTTACCTTCCTCTTTTTATAAAGTGCTACAAAATTTTGCCTGTCTTTGGCTAATTTGAGATATTGGTAAAGCAAGCTAAGACATAGTTTGAGGTGGGCTTCATGACTTCATGACCAGGCAGTGTTTCCTTCTGTTGTACACAATTTGTTATGAGTCAGAACTGACTTGAAGGCCCCTAACACAGTCACGTAAAAGTATTGTGCTCTAGAAGGGTGTCGTTTATGTTAAGAACTTGAAATGCGCTATTATTTTTTCTTTACAGTGTTTATTCTTAATAAAATACAACGTAAATAACACATACTTTACCTGTCATGACAAAAATGTCTAATTAAAAAGATATATATAGATATACAGATATATATATAGATATCAACATATATTTATAGCTAGATAATATATAGCTAATGTTTACAATACTGTGCCCTGTAAGTTTAATGATTCTACTCAATTTCTGCAAGGGTGCAAAGTTGATAAATATTTTACTAATGATCACTTGAATTAGTTTTCTGTTTATGTTTATTTCAGAAAACAGAGACGTCTATATGCTTCAGTGTATGAAGTTTTGCCGTTAAAATACTTACGAATCTCTTAGTTTTTTTATAATCATCAATAGTGTCAAACAGTTGTCCAAAGTTTTAGCTTTTTAAAATGTCTCTGTTTGTATCCCACTTGTAGACAATTATAAAATCTTAGCTGATTTGTTCTTCATAGGGTCTAGCCATATATACCTACTACTTCGTGTTCACTCTTAGGAAATTTAAAAGTATTCCTCTTACAGTAGGATGGTTTAAAAATCTCAATATTATGGAAACTTATCCTGTATTTTTATTGTATCGAATTCAACTCAGTTACATAGGTATGGAGATCGCATGAGTAACGTGGACTTTCAGGATTAGTATTGCTCTGTACCTTGGCGCTGCCTACCCCTCCACTGCCCGTATGACACCTGCTATCCTTTTCCAGTGGCCAAGCAATGTGATTTCTAAACACCAGTAGCTAAAACAAGTTCTGTTCGTTTGGATATACAAAGCAGACCTAATCCCACTACCACTAATAGCTCTTCAACGATTTGACTACTCTTCTTACGTTCCCAAACGTTGATACTTTCAGATGTTGAAAAGCAAACCAGAGTGCTATTAAAGACAGGCTGTGGTAGAACTATTCCTCATGTAGTTTTGAAATCCTGCAATGGCACTGCTTGCAATTCTTCTGTGATACTATAATTTAGACTGGCAATGACTGCCACACTCTGTTTAAAATTCAAGAATGTATATATAGATATATATACCCAGTCATCAGATTCCCTTTGATAACATGATTCACAGTAATAATCTCAGGCAAAATGAATTTGATCGTGTGCTGCTTCAGATGCCAAACATGCAACGAATAGTAGGGTTATTTTAACTTCTCACATTGCTTGAGAGAGTTAATTTCTACCTATTGTCATATGCATAATTGCTCAGACAATATTATGTAACATGTTTAGCAGCTTTTAAAATAATTTTACTTTAACTGAAAAATCTGTGCATGGCAACACTGTTGTTATTGTTTGGTGTGTATTCAGATGACGTTTTCCCCATCGGTGCTCTCAGCACAGTCCTGATTGGGAAGTTATGGTATGGGTCACAAAGACTAGTGCATTTGGAGCCCTCAGGAATTGCTCCTTTTTAAGCAACTGGAAGACTTTCTCTAGGGAAGAACTGTTTGCCATTAGGTTCTCACCTCATGGGCTGCTCTTTCTCTTCTCCTTTAATGGCTCTTTCTTATCATTCCAATTCTAAATGTTTGAACATCCCATGGCTCAGTTCTTAGACCTTTAATCACCTCTATTCACAACTATTCCCTGTCCCTCAAACTGTTTACTTAGTTATAATAACAATAATAATTACTTTACCCTGCCCTTTACAGCATTATCCAGTTTGTGAAACATTTTCCCATTTGTTATCTCAGATAACCCATTGCTATTGAGTCAATGCCAATTCATAGCAACTCTTTAGGACAGAGTAGAACTGCCGCATAGGGTTTCCAAGGCTGTAATCTTTATGGAAGCAGACTGCCGCATCTTTCTCCAGCAGAGTGGCTGGTGGATTCAACCTGCCGACCTTTTGATGAGCAGCCTAGCACTGAACACTGCACCACCAGCTAGGCTTATTGAAACAGAAAGTATTCAATCTAAATAACATCAATTTAGACATAAAAGCATTGTACATTGGACATTAAATTGCTATATCTACAAAGAATTTCTGTTTGATTTTCTATAGCCTACAATAAATAGAACTATTGTTTATTTTGAGCTTTGGATTTTTCACTTAGTAACCCGAGATCAGCCTCTAACAAATGAATCTGCATCGTGGTACTAACAGTGACCTTGGAAGAGAATAGTGTATTCCATGTGCATACTAAAATGAAAATGACTCTTTGTTAGCCCCTGAAGAATAAAGGTTGCTGATTTATTTAGTGATGCAGGATTGTAGATGAGTGAAAATTCTTGGCTTCCTCAAACTGTTACTTTCTCCGTAAATCACCTTCACATCAAAAATCTCTGCTAGGCGTAGAGGTTAGGGAGAGTTCACAAAATACTGTCTGGAATTTTCTTTAGAAAATTCTATTTTTTTTTCTATAACTACTAAAACTATGTATTTATTCGTTTACTAGAAATTATTTTATATTATATTGCCTAGTTGATGATTTTTTTCCTCCCAATATAAATTCGGAGCCCTGGTGGCACAGTCTTTAAGAGCTCAGCTGTTAACCAGAGGGTTGGCAATTCGAATATAAATTCTGTCAGACATATAATACATGCATATAATTCCAATAATTACATTGAAATTGTGTGTGTTCTTTCTAAAACGAAAGT